AACAGGATCTGGAACCCACCAATGGCTAGGATTAAAACTGACTTCAAACAATGGCATGACAAAGTAGCAACAATGATGTATTGGAATATCTGCAAGAAGTATCATTTGTCTGCAAGCAAGAACTGGTGGGAGCACAAAAAAAAACAGAAAATGAAGAACTTAAAGTTCTCTGGAACTTTAGAATTTAAACAAGTAAGCACTTGCCACAACACCCCAGACGTAAAGATAAGAAAGACACTGCAGTATCTGAAGACAGCAGAATAGGGGAGAAGAGACTGGAGAAGATTGCAAAATGTAAGAGTGAAGTAAAATGACTGTTCAAAAGAAAGCAAAGATAGTGCCAATAATAATAAGCACTTGGATGCAATCAAATATCTGACCCACCTCTTGAACACCTTTGGCATTTACATTTGCCTACTCCAGGTCCTTGAGAAAGACCTGATTAGACTGGTGTATATCACATAGAATGAGCTGTACCAATGAGGTTTCTCAGATGATTTATGTTGCCCAGAATTTTAAATAATATAAACTTGCCCCAGTTTTGAATGAGATGCAACTTTGTTCTAATCTGGTAATGGCATCAGAAGTTGAGAAGGTGATGAGTGCTATTGATTTTAAGAATTTTGTTTGTATTTGTTCAAGGATTGAGAAGTTTTTGTAAATACACATCTGGGATCCATATATCAGCATGCCAAGAACTTTGGCCTTGAATAGCTTAATTGCTGCAGGGACAAATTTGCTCCCTGCCAAATAGCAAATTTGTTGATCCCAAGTTTCAATTTGTAGCATGTTCTTTCTGCACAATGCATCTGGACCCCACAAAGTCTTAACAGCATTTTTGGAAAATAAAGTGGTGGGTGGCTGCAGTCCAGTGTTTTCTTTGAATATGTTCCCATTTGTCCAGCAAAGGGGGTTGGAAGCAAGAGTCAGGAAGAGTGTGAAGCCACACCTTACAAAATTAAGAAAAGTGGAAGAAAGTTTGATATTTGTCAGATGTATATTTTATCCATAGCCACATCCACGATTGCTACCATATTGTGAGAGTTCCATAACATGCTCTCATGCTTCCATATTAAAACTTCCAAAGATGTTTACTCCTGCTTCTGACTATGTTATGATCTACAGACTAAACGAAGGCATGTTTTAAGCCTTCCCTCAATTTCATCGCATAATTCTGTTTTAGATGAATATTTCATTATTTTGTTAATGGACATGATTTGACCAACCCTCTGTGCAATATAATTTTGATGATAACATTAGAAAATGATTTGATGGCTCATGGAGTGATGTCTCTTTGGGTAAATGCGCCATGAACATCTAAAATCCCATTGCTTCCATCTGTTGCTTAATTTCTATTGCGTCTCTGCTATTGGATTGCTTATTTATTCATCTCAAGCAAAGTTGTCAGAATGAAAAACTGAGCTAACAAGTGCACACATCACTTTCCTTATGTTGGTAATTTTAATCTATCAGGTTGTTGCTCTGTGTACATGGGTGGGCTTGTCTCAAACACATCTGAAACATCCCCTTTTGAGGGCTATCATTTTTTATTTAATGTTATGGGCAGGCATTTGGAAAGTGGCCATAGCCACTGGAGTGCTCAGAAGTCAGATCATTTTATGGACTGAGAGGACAGAGCAATCCATAAAGAATGTGTCAAATTAGCCGATGGTTTGCTGTAAGTAAGACACCAATTAATGGGTTTGGATTTAATAGAGCAGAAGATTTACCAGTCTTTAAAAGCTTAACACCAGAACCCTGTGTTGCGGGGGGAGGTGGGGGGAATCATTTATCAGGGACTAAGAGCAATTGGCTTTCTGAGTCCCCTAACCTTCTTATAAATGGCAGCCATCAAAATGCAGAAAGTGACCTTATACCCTGGCACGTTAAGAATATGCTGACCTTTAATGATGTTATTTCTGAGTGTCACTTTTGATCCTAGCGATGGAAAAAAAGCAATATGAAATCATTTAAAAATGTAAGCGATGGTCTTTATCTGAGTCAGAATCATTGGTCTACCAGCAAGCATTACCAACACTGACTGGCAGCATTCTTCCATAGTACATTTTTTCCAACTCTGTATGGAGATAGTGTTGATTGAACTTGAGATTGTACGTGTGCAAAAGAAGTATTTGGTTACTGTTTTCTGTAATTGCAGTAAAATAGCTGAATAGCAGCTAGACCAGTGAGGAAAGTTAGGTGTTCATACAGTCATTGCAGGAGGTGCTGTGAAAGGGAAACTGATCATATCAAGACCTTTGAAATCAACAGGGAACACATTATTATTGTTGTTGTTGTTGTTGTTGTTGTTGCTGTTGTTGTTATTATTATACAATTGTATCACAGCGGCCAGTTGTTTCGCCGGATTTGGCATTGGTTACTAGTTGGGCCCCACCCAGGGGCCTAGGNCCATCAGTGTCTATTGTATCATTCAGAATTTAGCATTTATGCATTAACTCCCATTTAAAACAAAATTCAAAAAATGAATCATCTTGATAATTCATAATTTTGTTCTCCCAGGTAAGATCCAAGCAGAAATTGCAAGAGAGATTGGTGATATTCAACCAAGCACTGAGCACAGAGTCAAAATGCCTTACACAGATGCTGTAATTCATGAATTTCAAAGATTATCTCCCATTGCTCCCTCCAATGTGCCACATGCAACCACCATGGATATAACTTTCAAAGGCTTCTTTATCCCCAAGGTGATTAATCTGAAATCACTGTATTATATGACATCTAGTCTGTTGTGTTCAGTGGGTAGGAAAAAGTAGTCCTTAAGTGGATGGAATTGGCTAAATCAATTATAAGTCCGAAGACAGTTATCTTATTAGAACAATTTTCATAGAAGCATCTGTCAAGGCGCCAATGGGAGATGTTTTTGTTTGGTATCTGGCATTCTGAAAGTGTCCCCACCTCTTCATTCACGGTACTTTCCTCTCTTGCTCTATTCTTTTATTTCTTCCTCATCTTGGTTTATTGCTTTATTTCCCCTCCTTGTCTTCAGCAAGCCTTTATTATTATTATTTGGGGGGGGGGGTGTCTTCATTTTCTTGATACTTTTTCTTATTTTTATTTTCAAAAGTAAAAAGTATATAATGTGCATATTCAAAATCCTTGATTTATTTTTGTTTTCATTTTTAATATAATCCAAATTTCTTTTATAGCCGGACTTTGACAACAAAACATTGGCAATACCTCTCAAGGACAAAAGAAGTAAATGTTCCATAACAAAATGACCACAGGAAAATTAAAATATTCCCCACAATAGACAGTAAATAGAAATGGCAAATCCCCAATTCTTTGGAAAGAAAAAGAAAATATATATAGACAAAAGAAAAATGAAAAAAATATTTTAAGAACTGGTAAAATAAAAAATGATTGCGGTAGAAATCTGATGCAAATATAAATCAAATATAATCAAGTAGGGAAATTATCAAGGAGAAAGTCTTTGCATGATAGGTTGTCATGCAGCAAAACTGAAATTGTTTGATAACTCCAAAATAAAGCAGGAAAAAGGGACAAAAAGTTCACATTTATAGTCCAGCAAGGGGTATATAAAATAAATCAGTGTTTGGTTAATTAAAGATGGTTAATTAAAAATGTAAATCAAATGCAAAAAAGTGATGTTTAAAAACCAAGGTGTATCTAAATAATACACTGACGGGAAAAGATGAGATGGAAATACTGTTTTAATATATTTTTTTAAATTGAATATTGCTCCAAGCCCAATATTTACTTCTCAATGAACACTTTACAAAATTAAATGGACACATTCTTTTCCATACCAACTTTTTATTCTTTCATTTTTTAGGGCACACATATCATTCCCTTGCTGACATCTGTGCTCCATGATGAATCCCAGTGGGAGAAACCTCATGAATTCTATCCTGAGCATTTTCTTGACTCTGAAGGAAAATTTGTGAAGAGAGATGCATTCATGCCATTTTCTGCAGGTAAGATTCTATGATGTCATTGATTATGTTCTGTAAAAGGCAACCTTTAACACTTTGTTTGAAAAGAAAACAATTTATACAGTCTTGATCTCATAGACCTTATTTTGACAAAGTTTAGTCCTCATGGACAGGTTCATTCAGAACTAGTTAATTCCAGTCTTCCTGGGCAATCACCAACCTTGTGCATGAGTTACTGTTATTCCTGCTGTGCTCAGTATGAGCATTTCTGCATTTGGGCAGTCTGGAATGATTCCTGTCTTTCAGCCTTCCTGGCTGCCTGGGACCTTCAGAGGGACACAGACTTTGGTTCTTCTTAGCGTGACCCCTTTATTAGCTTTTCTTAAGCTTTTCTTATTAGATCATAGCAATATAGTAGATAATCTAATTCAGTCATTTGAAGTCCAAGCCCTTGAATTCAACTTCTGTCAGTAGTTTGTCCTGATTTCATTGTAAGCTGGGGGGTGGAGGACAGGGTGAATAATGTTTTCCACTTGACAGGCTACATAGAGATAGAGATGCTATTCAACAGGGCACTTACCAAAGTGAGCCTCACTTGAGCCCAAAATTCCTGTTACATTCATTTAGTGAATTTTGCCCCATTTTACAACTTTTCTGGAAAGATTGTTATATGAATCACTGCAATTGTTAAGTTAGAATCGGCTGTTAAATGAATCAGGCTTCTCCATTGCCTTTCTTTGTCACAAGGTCTCAAAATGTGATTCAGGGACACTGCAATTGTTATTAATATGAGTTTATTTTCAAATTCAGAAATCTGCTGCCATTTATTATTTTGAAAATTTTTCTGCCTCCATTCCTTTACTGGATTTTTATTTCTTTCCATATCTATTATTTTTTCCCTGTATGCTGATCTCTCCATGACCAAAGAATATTAGGAAACCCTTTGAAATAGTTTAAGAAACCAATAAACACACACTCTCACTCTCACTCTCTTCCTCTCTCTCTCTCCCTCTCTCTCTTCCTCTCCCCCCCCCCAATTTATGCTTTCCTCCAGGTCGGAGAGTTTGTGCAGGCGAGAAACTTGCCAAAATGGAACTCTTTCTCTTCTTTACCAGCCTCTTGCAGAAATTTACCTTCCAGCCACCCCCAGGAACATCTAAAGATGATCTGGACCTGACCCCTGTTGTTGGACTTACCTCCATTTCCATGCCGTACAAGACCTGTGCTATGTTACGTTGATCTGACACAAAAAAACTATAACACATTTTCTCAACCTTGCATTGCCTTCATTTTGAGAGGCACAATTTAATGAAAGAATCCACTATTGTCTATGATTCATGTGTTGTTGGAAGATGAATGGTAATAATCTATGTAATTGCTATGTAACAAGAGGAATAACCCAACTTGTCTAATAGGAGGAATGACTCAAGTTGTCTATTACCATAGTGACCCATCTTATCGCATAATGTAGACAATAAAGTCTTTACCACAAAAACATTAAATGTGCTTCTAAACTGATACAAATTAATGAGATTGGATTTGTTCCTAAGGCATACATGAACTATAATGATAGATGCACTGGGGGAATGAGAACAAGAGTGGGGATGGTGGGTATTGTAAGGATAGAAGGCACACAGTGACATCATGGTGGTGACAAGCATGGTCAGACAAAGCAGCAGATTACTCTTGGAGGAGCCTGTCCTGGTGTTTGGTATCATTGTTGCATTCTAGCCCCTTCTGCTTCCCCCTAAGACTTTGCTTTCTTGGCCCCATGTTTTCTTGCTGGCATTCCCAATGCCAATTTAACATGTAATAAGACTGACCTGGCAGGCATTATTGGCTGGTGGGTCTATGCTGTTGGAAAGGAGTGCTCATAGATATGTGAACTATCTGGATGGGACATTAGCTCAAATTCCAGGACAGGATGTGGTCTGTAACTATTGCCATGGTAGAGCCCCAGGTGCCTTCCAGGGTACTGTTCCACAAATGAATAGATATAAGATCCTATCTGTAAGCCATAAAGATCAGATGGGAGTGCTGCTTGTATACTGATATGCACCACTTTCCCTACCTGACCTGCTTTACTCCATGGCCAGATGATTGATGGTTGTTGAAGTTTCCAAGCCTTGTGCTCTGGAGGAATTTCATTCTGTCTTTTCTAGACTAAAGATGTGGCTGAGATGTTTACAGCATTATGGGAGTCAAGGACCTTTTGATGGTGTCACTTAGAATAGCTCTCTAATTTGAGTCAGGGCAGCAGCCATGAGATTAGAGTTCGGAAATATGAATTGTTTGATTTCATTTGCTGGATTCCCTAACTGAATAGTGAAACATTTGCCACGAAGACTCCAAAAATATTAACATCTGTCCTAAAATCTTGTGTTTTTGAATTATTGCACAGTTCTAATAAGTTTAAACTTGTTTGCAAAGGTTTTGTAAATCCCATCTCTACATGCTGTTAGGAAAGTTCAGATAAAATGTCTGGGAAGGAGAGAGAAAACTAGGGCAAAGATTGGAGATTCTCTCTTATACAGGTGGTCTGGTGATTCGCTAGAAAAAGTAGATGGGCTATGCCTAATGCAGTGCTTTGAAATACATGCTTTAACAGATTAACTTTGGAAGGGACCTTTTAGGTCATCTAGTCCAACCACCACCCAAGCAGGAGACCTTACAACATTTCTGACAAATGGCATCCAATTTCTTCTTGAAAGCCCCCAGTTATGAAGCTCCCACAATTTCCAAAGGCAAGCTGTTCCATTAGTTGTTTGTTCTCACTGTCAGAAAATTTCTCTTTATTTTTAGGTTGTTGTAATCTCATACCTTGTTTCTCTATGTGGGTTAACCAGGAAATAAAGAATGCTGAAGAAGAGTGAAGAAATAAATTAAAGGAATAGGGAAGTCATTGTCAGGATATTTAGATCCAAAGCTAAAAGAAAAATTAAAAAAAAAAACAAGTGCCAAATAGTTTATAAATTAATAAAATGCAAAAACTCTGTGGTGAAAGTCCAATATTGATGCAAATCAGAGGAAAACACTTTACTGTCCAAAAGCATGTTGTGTTTCTATATGGAAAAGCAAAAATTATTCAAAACAACAACATAAATCAGAAGGAAAAAGGAAAAAGAAAACAGATTATTCCAGCAGGGGCTTAAGGTAAATCAGCATTAACCAAGCAGTCAACTTTTAAAGACAAAAAGCAAAGTAAAATAATAAATTCAAAAAATGAAAGCTAAAACCCAGGCACTACTAGAAAACAAATTGCAGAAAGAAAGATGGGTGTCTAGTGACTTTCCAATTGATCCCACAGTGAACTGGAATCTTCAAGACTCCCCTTCCCAAGTAGGTTCTCCAAAAGCTGTTTTAGGTCATTCCTAACCCCCCCCCCAATTCAAATTTAGTGAGGAACACTGCCAGAGAATGAGCTTTGACACCAAAATCAGCAGATTGTCAGCAGGAAAAGGAACAATTCCTACTTTTCAGCAACCATCCTGGGCAGGAGCCTCAGGATATTAGGCTTTTCATATATAGGACTAATGAAACAAGTCTTTTTTACAATATTTTCAAATTTAGAAATTCACTGTCATTTTGTAATTGGAAAAATACTCTATCTCCATTCCTGTCAGAACTGTCATCTCACATCTACCAGTCTGCCATGAAACGGGGAGGGGGGGTGAGAGGGAGAGGGGGTGCTTGTGTATGTGTGTGTGTGGGGAAAGTGAAAGTCACAACAGTGAAGGTGCCTCTCCAAGATAGCATTTTAAGGTTTCCTCACAATGTGAAGAATGCATTGGCAAGGCAGCCTACAACTAGAGTGGCCATCTTTTTCGAGATTGATTGGATGTAGGCAGCAATGTTAAGTGCCTAAGGGGGAAAGAGCGAATTGGCACGGAAATTTCAGTTCTGGGTTTGCTTTACTGCAATTCAAAGGTGTTTTTCCAAGAAGCAATTGGACTTTTTGTTTTTTCTTTCAAAGAAAAACTCCAGTTGCCTCTTGAAAAAGCCCCTTTTGGATCATCATGACCTGGATTACTGAGAATCTCCATAGACATTACTGCAGTTCACTTGACTTCTAATAAAATTGTACCTTTTGCAAAAAAAAAAAAAAAAGAGCCAAGGATCACTTTTATTTAGAAATGCAAGCCAAGGTGGGACTGACAATTCTTTTATTACATTTTTACTTCTATCCATATATGTGATATATCATTGTTTTTCTATGTGCTGCTCTCTCTGTGGTCATGGGACATTGGGAAATCCTGTGAAATTATTTTAAGAAACCAATAAACACAGGGTTGTTGGTTTCCCCCATCTATGTTTTCTTCCAGGTCGGAGAGTATGTGCAAATGAGAATCTTGCCAAAATGGAGCTCTTCTTCTTCTTCACCAGCCTCCTGCAGAAATTTATTTTCCACTCCCCGAAAGGGGGGGGGGGACATCTAAAGATGATCTGCACCTGACTGCTACTGTTGGACTTACCTCCACTACCATTCCTTTCAAGACCTGTGCTGTGTTACATAGAGAGCCGAGATGGCGCAGTGGTTAAATGCAGCACTGCAGGCTACTTCAGCTGACTGCAGTTCAGTAGTTCAGCTGTTCAAATCTCATCGGCTCAGGGTTGACTCAGCCTTCCATCCTTCCAAGGTGGGTAAAATGAGGACCCGGATTGTTGGGGGCAATAGGCTGACTCTGTAAACTGCTTAGAGAGGGCTGAAAGCCCTATGAAGCGGTATATAAGTCTAACTGCTATTGCTATTGATCTCATAGGGGAAAAAAAGTATAAGCAGCTGTTTTTTCTACCCCTGAAATGCATTTATTTTGACAAAAAGGCAAAATTTTAAAACATAATTCAATATTGTCTATGCTTCATGGATTGTTTGAAACATGAATGGTAATGGTATATAAACTCATGGAATGTTGATTCCAATAGGAAAGCTGTTCTGTCCCGGCCTCTAAATTACACTGATACCGGCTTGGCTGTCTGCCACGACTAAGAAGGGAGATAAACCATCGCTTGGCTAGAAGCCCAGACAAATAATCTCTATGAAAAACAGGGAATTCACAGAATTCTTCGAACTTTAAACTAAGCCTGTAACTGTTGTTTTCTGCAAAATCTCCCTCTCATCGCCCCACCTATAAGCTCTCTGGGAGGGGCCAATCAGTCCTATTTCTTTCTGCGAGCCTGTTTCCACAGCTGCTGCCTTCTCCTATCAGCCTTCCGCATCCGTATGTCAGGGACAACCTCCCCCTGTTCTTCCTCACTGCTCCCTGGCTCAGACGCCATCTGGTGGCCAACAGGCCTCTCCAGTCCCTGCTCTGACTCCGAACACCCCCAGAGTCTTCCTCAGTCTCCAGGGCAGTCCCATAATGTTAATCACCGTCAGATTCTACCAACAGCTCAGCCGGCCACTGCTGGGCCACAACAGAAAGTATTGTAGGGAAATCATGAAAAGCAAAATGCTTTTTCTTTTATTTGGGGCCATTTGTTTCTTTTGCCTTTTACTGTTTTTGTCTCCTTCAGTTTTCTGTTTCTGGTTTTAGTGCCAGTTCTAAAGTTTAGCACCAACCAAAATGTCCAGGCATCTTAGTTGATGACTATGGTATCCTTCAGAATTTGGAATCTTTGCATAAACTTCCATTTTAAAACACACTTTAAACAATTTTGGGATCAGTCACTCTCTCTCAGCCTAACCCAACTCACAGGGGTGTTGTGGGGAAAACCAGAGGAGGAAGGAGCACTGGATATGTTTGTCAGTGTGAGTTGTTTATAGAAATAATTAAGATATAAGAAATACAAAAATATAATAAAAATAAATAAAGATAGCATAATGGATATGCAGTCCTCTTCATATGTCATTAAATTGAGTCATGTCTAAATACAAGGAGGGAGGGAAGCATAGGTAAGTTTCACCTCCTTTTTACAATCTGCTTTCCTTCAGTGATTGCTTTCTGTGTATCCAAAACACAACAAGAATGGGACAAAGTTAGTACATTCATTTCCATTCTACCTCCACATATGAAGAAATTCAAGGATATAATAATTATTAATGAGAACTCATAGGTATGTTATACATATTGTGGGAATGTGTGGAAATCAATTAAACAAAGAAAGTAAAATGATGTAGCTTTTAATTCACCCATTACTGTTTTGTGAACCACAGCCATTTGCCAAGAGGACTGTTTTGAGGTAGACTTGAGGTAGAAAGTCTCTCTTGTTTTGAATAGAACTTGAACTGTATCAATCAAAGAGAACAGAACAGA